CGTACTCCCACGATTTCTCAACAATCTGGCGCAGGGCAAATACATTGTCAGAGGTGCTTCGACCGGGCCGGAAGTCACAATGCTCTTGTATCTTGAGGTCTGTTTTTCCGCGAAACCTCCTTTCAACAACCTTTGCCTAGACTTTACCTCGGAGGCTCAGTAACGTAATGACCTTATAATTGGACCATTCCTTGTGGCTTCCCTTCTTGAATACGAGAATAATAACTCCCGTTCTCTAGTCCGCTGGTGTGATTCCCGAAGTCACCGCAATTTCACAGACAATGTGTAAACCAGCGCATGTCTTGTTCGCCTCATGCCCTGAGAATCTCAAGGCGGATTTCATCAACTTCCATTTTTCAAGCTTTTCACAGCTTGTGTAATTTCATCTACAGAGATAGTAACATCCGCAACCTTCTGCTCTGCAGGCGAATCTTCCTGCGATTACCAGGGGTTAAGGAGTTCCTCAAAGTACTCCCTCCATCGCCGAAGAATCTCATCATCCTTGGTAACAGGGTGTCCAGACCCGCGCTTCAAGACTCCTAGACCGCCCTTCTTTCCATCTCGGAGACAGCGGATGGTCTGCCAGAATACCCTGTGTACCTTGTGGAAATTCGACTCCAGCAGTTCAACAAATTTCTTCCAGGAATCAGCTCTGACTTTCGCCACTGTCTTTTGTGCCGCGTTGCGTGCGTCAGCATGTCTCACGTGAGTAGAAGACTTCCAACCCATCTCTTGAATGCAGCGTCCATCTCATTGACTGTCAGTTTTAGCTCTCGTATTCACCAGTAAGTTCTTTTCTGACTTGAAGGTGGCCACCCAACCCGTTTTAACCCGCAGGATTCGGCGGCAGCCGCGTGGTTGCCGCTGCTATAGAGCTGCCACTCAGTTTCCACATCACCAGTCATCCCTGGGATCTATTGAAACAATCGTGCAATGATGTTTGCAAATTTTGATGTCGTGTCCACGTTAGACAGTGTTTCCTATTTGATTCTCTAGTTTCTTCTGCCACCAGATTTTCGTATGGCACTCCATTTTTTACAGGGTAGGGTGGCAACAACAAGGTGGTGATCGGTTGACAGTTCTGCACCTGTGCCAAAATCACCAGCAGCACCCATTACGTTGCATCGTGATTTAGAGGATGCGGTTATAAAATCGATCATCGACTTCTGTGCACTAGCTTCGCGGTGCCAGGTATACAGATGCACTCTTGGATGCTCGAAGAAGGTGAAAGTGTTTATAATCGATAGTCCATTGTTTGCACAAAACCGCAGTAACTTCACGCCGTTATGGCTGAGGTTGTTAGGGTCATTCTTTCGAATCACGTTTTTCCATTTTTCAGTGTCTGCTCCAACACGACCTTAAAATCGCCCATTAGTATGAGGGACTCTGTACTCGGCACTTCAGACAGAGCACACTGCCTTTCCTCAAGAAAGGTCTCATATTCTCCCTCCAAATTGGGCCCATAGACCTGTACCAAGGTCATCGATTTAGTCTGTTGTAGCTTCAGTCGAAGGATTACCACCCTTCCGCTGACAGGGTTCTAATCGATAATTCTGTTGGCAAGTTTGGGTTCTACCAGAACGCCAACACCGGCCTGAGCGCGAGTCGTAATATCGTCGCCTGAGTAGAATAGCTTCCTTCCTTTCGCTGAGGTTCAGGAGTCCAGCGTCTTGGCGCTTCGTTGACGAGAGTCCAACGATGTCGAGTTAATGCTTTATGGACTTATCAACTAATTCTTGTTGTTTCCCTCTGAGTGAGGATGCGTTCCAGTCTTTGACTGTAAGTTCTAACTGTCGATATCGTTCTCGTGGAGCCTTATCTGACGTGCTGTAATGGCATTACAGTGTCTGCATCGTCCGCTCAAAACGGTTCCTTTGCTGATGAATTTAAATTCCTGAGAAATCCTAACTGATAACACAATCGTAGACTTCAGGTTAACTGATAGGACTCTAGAATTGAGTAATCAAATGAGCCTGTACAAACTCTGCTAAATAGAGAAATTTGCTCTCGTTAGACACTGGCTTTTGTGAAACCCTAAAACAGTTTAATATCACACAAAGTAAATATTTTCAATACACAGTAAACAAAATAAGGTAGCAGCAATTTGAAATGCTGTTTTCAGTTGTTCTTCAGCACGATCATTCGTTTTTCATTTAGTAAAAACTGAGGGTCACTGAACAATGCCGAAAGTATTGTATGATGCGACGCCTCCTATTAATACTAAATATATTCGTTTTGGTCATTGTGACATCAATAGTAGTCTTTCATTAAGACCGAAACTCTCGGTTAACAAAAAGCCGATTAATGAAATTTGTTACATATTAACTAATATTTTTTCCGATAAATGATGGCCTTGAAGGAAATGGAGAGCGCAGCAGATGCCGCACTGGTGTCACCTACATCTATGATTGACATAATCAGATACCTGTTTTTAATGGACATAAATATTTGAAGCTGTCGTACCTTTACCGATCAGCTATTGATGGTGAGAGCTTCTTGTGGCTAAGAAATTCTAAGCATAAATCTGTCGTCTGTTGCAAATGCTAAGATGAGGGGACATCACGATTCTGAAACAGCCTAAAATTTTGACAGAGTTGTCATAGATGGTGATGTTAAAACAACCAAATTTCCAATTACAACTCTCGGAAAAGCTGAGTCTGCGTTTGAGATTTAAAAAGAGAGAACTAGAGTATTTTCTTTGCTGCATGAGTTGAACTGTGATCAAGAAGGAACTGAGCACTTGTATGAAGCTCTACCATGTTAATTGGTAATTTTATGAATCATTTACCTTCCACTTTAAATAATGGGAATTGATTAGTAATAAATTTTGGGAGTAAAAGGCAGATCGACAAGCATTGGACCTCGAATCTCCTTCCTTATGAACAGCTATTTTACGAAATGGAACGATCATTATTACAAAAGATATAACATATGAGTAGAGACTAAGAAATCTGACTCTCTTGGAGAATCCGCATGGGAATTAACCAAGGAATGCTCGAAGACCGGACCATTCGAATCGATTAAGAACTAACATTGCCGCTGTATTTAATATAGTTCAGCGAGCTTGTTCGATTGGTGGAGAAACCCGACCATTGGGAAAACCTCCTGAAGCTGCTGCCCTCGCAACGCAACGGTAATAACAAGCCATAAACTGAACAAATAGAAATCTATTGGTGTAATTTTGAATGCTTAATGTCAGGAATTAAAAATACGATGGAAAATTCTGCAATCTTTGTCTTTTTTGATCTCGTAACAATGAATTTATGCAAGTATGCAGGCTTTA